AAGTAGAAACTCAGAAAGGCTAAATAACTTGGCTAAGATTTTTTCCTACCCAACTAGCCTAGTATGAGATATACTTTAGCAGGACTGTTTTTTACTCTACTATTTAACATGTTCCTAAACTCCCCATTTTAGATGCCCAATTTTGATTAACAGGGATTGGCAAGCTTTCTGTAAAGGRCCAGATGGTAAATACTTGTAGGCCATATGATTGCTTTAGTAATTATTCAATTCTTCCATTGTTTCACAAAAATAGCTATGGGCAGAATGTATTGGAAGAGCATGGCTATGTTCCAATAAAACTTTATTTACAAAAGCAAGCAGCAGACTATATTTGGYTTGCTGTCAGGGCATACTTTACTAACCCTGAGGTTACAGCATAAGGCACAAGTAAAATTGTCATCAGAGAAAAGGTTGGAAAGATAATCAGAGGCCAAATTATGATAAGCTAGGCTTGATAATTTTGGGTCAGTATTTTTCAAAGTGTAGAAGATACCTGTTGAATCAGAATCCCTGGGAATGGGGTCTATTTTTGGATTTAATAGTTCCCCAGGGAGTGGTTCGTTTTGAGAAGAGTTGGGTGGGAAAGAAGCAAAGACAGTAAAATAAAGACCATCTTGCTGAGCCAGTTTGTAATCATTTCAGGCAYTGTTAAAATAGGTCTGTAACCATTTCACCATTGTTTTATATTTAGGTGAAGGTATACTTAGCTCCAGCTTCAAAAGAGAATAGTTGGGAGAAGGGCAAAGCCATRGAGTTGAAAGAAGAGTGGCAGGAATTAACCCTCAGTTTAGAGATGCCTACTTTATCTTCTTTCTCCTTCTGATTGGAGAAACTGGCAGAAAGGTTAGCAGCAGAAAAGAAGTGATTAGAYATTCTCACTTTCTGAAGATGTGGTAAATAAAAGACCTAGGCTGTGGTGGTGAAGGAAGTTAACAGTAGCCCTTAACATTCAATGAAGATGGGCTGAGGTTGTGGCTCAGTGGTAGAGCACTTGCCTAGCATGTGTGAAGCAGTGGGTTTGATTCTCAGCACCACAAAAAAATTAATAAATAAATAAAGGTGCATCAACAACTAAAAAAAAAAAGTATTCAATGAAGATGTCACTACTTGCTTTGTTTTTTCTTCATAGCTGTAAAGAGCAGTGGCTAGGCACACAGCTTTTTTCTTTGATCAGTGGGAGATACCTTTTTTAGATGCCCATTCTACCTCTTGCTCTATGTTCCCTGTTTGCTATTATATATATGCTCTCAYTCTTTTGCTCAACTAGAGCACATTGATTAATAAAACCAAGTACTTCTGGGCAATCACCTTAATGTTATTCTGTTCCAATTAATCATTTTTTAAAAATATTTTTATTAGTTGTTCATGGATCTTTATTTTATTTACTTATTTTTATGCGGAGCTGAGAATCGAACCCAGTGCCTCACATATGCTAGAAAGTGCTCTACCACTAAGCCACAACCCCAGCCCTCCAATTAATCATTATTAAGTAGCACTTTCTGTTGTTTGAGGTACACTGCTAGATGAAATTTTATATCCTCCTTCTATTACTGTGTGCTAGTGTTAAAAATAACCCCTTTGTGATTTTATATGTAAGGAGAATAACCCAAAATCCTTTAAGTTTTTCTTGGRACTTATTTGAGATTACTGAAGACTTTAAGAAAGCTATTGTGCTTTAAAGATCTGAAAAGGAAGCAACTAAAAATTAGAATKCGGTAGGAGTCACAAGCTGAGAAAATTAAAGAACAATATGTTCTTTTAGCATCCTTAAATGGTTACAAAATTATTATTTTCTGGGAACTATAATGGACCGAATTCAGATATAATTTCAATATTAACCCTTAAAGGGGTTGGGGTTGTGGCTCAGAGGTAGAGCGCTCGCCTAGTATATGTGAGGCACTGGGTTCAATCCTYAGCACCACATAAAAATAAAATATTGTGTCCACCTATAACTAAAAAATAAATATTTAAAAAAGATATTAACCCTAAAAGACTGAACTAGCAAAGAYTATGAAAAATTATTTTCTGGAAAAATTTTGGAACTAACCACTTATGTTAGAAATATCAATCCTAATAGGAAACATTTGCTGCTTCACAAGCAATCTGTTCCTCTAGGTGAGTACTAAGTCCAGAGTACTGTGCTGGGGTTTACCTTCTATCACTTTTCTCAAGGCCTTCTGCATGAAGAAGAAAGGAAGATAATGTAGAATAAAACAGCAAAGAAAAGCTGGACTTTTTTTTTTTTTTTTTTAATCTCTCGGAGGATGTGTGAAACAAAACAGCAACAGCAAAATTTAGTAGTTTAGGTGGAGGTAAAAAGGGCATCCAAACAAAGGAAACCATTATCCAAGGAGTATGCCAGAGATTTCAGAAAATGAGGCTTTGAAAAGCTCTGGGAAGGGCTGATTTCAAAAACTGGAAAATTTTTAAAAGTTTGATTCCTTAAAATAAAAAGGCCCAATTCTTAAACATTCTAAAACACCAATATGCAAATCCCTGACCATCCCTGTCTTCATGGAATAAAACTAAACAATACRAACTTTGGTAGATTTGAAGACAATATGAATAGGTTATACATAGTTGAACTGTATGAATTAACCAATAATGAACATTCTCTATTATCTTAAAATCACAAAGATGGATATGTTGGACAGGAAAAGTGTGATGGAGATGGAATATTAAGGTAAATTAACAAGAATAAATTCACTACTCTTTTTAGAAAAAGGCTTTCTAGAGGAGGTTAAATTCCAGACTCTGGCCAAATAGCAACAGGAGCTTAGCAGTGTTCCAACCAACCACAGGAAAATAGCTCATAAGGGGAGTGAACTGATTATATGAATGGGGCATTGAGTGAGGGATTCTGAGAGAAGGGGACTATTTAGTCAAAGGGAATAGGGCTGGTTCARGGTTCACTAGTTAAGATCTTCCAAACCGAAGACGGCTGAGAAGGCGCACGGAAGGGCAAAAAGAAAAAGCAGAGTAATTTCTTCACTTATTTCGCTAGGCAGGTCAAGGACGATGGTTAGAATTCTCTGGAAAAGCTGGCAAACAGGGTTGTGCTGGGAATAAAGACAGGGCCCTTCCTGGAAAAACACAGCCTCGGTGTTCCCTGAATTCTTGGTTGGGTACCATCAGGCAATAAGTGGAGAGGAGCAGGGATGTGTAAGGGAGATGTTGCTTGGGTGTTGGCATGGACTTCTGAGCTAAGGCTCAACGGCGGACTAGCACTTAGCGAAAAGCAGGCGGCGGCGGCAGCTGCGCGTGCAAACCACAGAACTTACCTTACTGTCATCCATTTCGGCAGACAGGCCGGCCCGGCCAGGCACTCCCTCCCCCGGCCCTCCCCTGGCTCAGCCGGCCCGGCCCGGCCCCCGCCCCGGGGAAGAAGGAGATATGGTTCTGACTGTCTCCTCCTCTCGCCTAACAGTTCACTTCCCTGATGCCAGTCACGGGGACCAAGGACTAGTTCAGGAATGGCAGAGCGGACCTTGGAGGCGGCCCAAAACGCCTCCCTTCACTGCCGCCGCCTCCTCCTCCCCCTCCATGACAGTCTCTGAGTGTGTTTACAGAGGCCCTGGAGAGCCGCCGAGTCCTGAAAGTGGGCGGTAGTGCCGCGCGCGTAATGGTCCCTGCGGCTTCCGTAGCGCTGCGGTAATTGTGGGAATTGTAGTTTTCCTTTCCGTAGTCACTGCGCAGCTGACTGAAAAGAGAACTACAATATCCAGAGAGCCTCAGAAAGGGGCGTCTGTTTTTCCCGTTGGCCTACCAGCACCAAGGAGGCGGGGCCTGCGGAAGTCTGAAACTGCGTTTCCCACAGCGCGRAGGGCCTTCGGTTTGGTTCTGGAGTGCCAGTGGTTGCTGGACAGTGAGAGTGAGGTTTTGGGGCCCTGCGAGGCAACGATGGAGGCAGGGCCCTGGGAACAGGCGTTTTAGGGGACTCTGGGAAGGTGCAAAATGAAGTTATTTTTAAAAATTAATTTATGTATTTATTTGGTACTGGGGATTGAACCCAGGGAAGCTTAACCTCTGAGCCACACCCCCAGCCCCCTTTTTTTAAAAAGTATTTTATTTAGAGACAGGGTCTTGCTCAGTTGTTCAGGGCCTCGCTAAATTGCTGTGACTGACTTTGAACTGGATTACAGCCGTGCACCGCCGAGCCCGGTTTAAGTTGTCTTTTCTTGTTTTTTTTTTTTTTTTTTTTGTATCGGGGATTGAACTCAGGGGCACTGGACTACTGAGCCAAATCCCCAGCCCTATTTTGTATTTTATTTAGAGACAGAGTCTCACTGAGTGGGTTATGGCCTCACTTTTGCTTGCTGAGGCTGGTTTTGAACTTGGGATCCTCCTGCCTCAGCCTCCTGAGCCGCTGGGATTATAGGCATGTGCCACTGCGCCTGGCTTAAATTCTTTATTTTAAAAATGATAATTAGAGGGGTGGGGCTGTAGCTCAGTGGCAGCGCGCTTGCCTTGCATGTGTGAGGCACTAGATTAGAACCTTTGCACCACAAAAAATAAACAAAGGCATTCTGTCCATCTAAAAAAATGATAATTATAATGTAAGATGGTGCAGCTGCTTTAGGAAACAGTTTGGCAGTTCCTCAGAATATTAAACATAGGGCTATCATGTGACCACTCCTGGGAATATACCCAAGAGAAGTGAAAACGTGTGACTACACAAACACTCTCTCCTAGTAGCATGATTCCCAATTGTCAAAAAAGTAGAAATTACCCAAATGTCCATCAATGGATGGACCGAGAGAGACCATTTGTGGACCATAGCTATAAAATAATATTATTTGGGCATAAAGAGGAATAAAGTACAAATACATACTATCTTGTTCTTAAACCTTGAAAATAGTGTGTTAAGTGAAAGAAACCAATCACAGAAGGCCATGTAGTGTATGATTCAATTTTTAATGACATGTCCCAGAATGAGCAGGCCTAAAGGAACAAAAAGTCCACTAGAGGTTGCCAAGTGCTCAGGGTGAGGAATAACAGGGAAGGAGGGAAGCTGGGACAGAAAAGTGAATGTTAATGTATACTGGGTTTCTTTTTATGTGGTGAAAATGTTTTAAAATTGATTTTGGTGGTGGTTCCCCACTCTTTGAATATGCTAAAATCTCACAGAATTTTATACTTTGAGTGAATTATATACTTAAAATGAAGTGATTAAAAAATAACTAAAAATATCTGTGTCCTAATAAAGTCAGTGAACTTGTTTTTGTTGTCATTGTCTAAACCTATCATAGGCCTTTGTTTGTTTGTTTTTTAAATTTTTAGTTGTAGATGGACAGAATATCTTTTTTATTTATTTTTGTGTGGTGTTGAGAATCAAACCCTCACATGTGCTAGGCAAGCACTTGACCACTGAGCCACAACCCCAGACCCTTCTCAAAGGCCTTTGAGAACCTGACATTGTGTGTTTACTGATATCACTCCTGAAAAGCCTTGGGCTCGTACCTTTTCAAAGACTCCTAATGTGTTTTGGTAACCCAAAATTCAACTGAGGTAGACTTACCAGATTTATTAATAAATATATAGGACACCCAGTTACATTTGTATTTCAAATGAAAAATATCCTATTAGTATAAGAATTTCAAATGCAATATTGGAAATATACTTTTACCAAAAAATAATTGTGTTGTTGATCTGAAAAGCAAATGTAACTGGATAATCTCTGTTTTATCTGACAACTCTAAATTGAGGAGGAATAACAGAAAGATTGAATGGTCTCTATCAGGCCTATACAATATTTCAAGGGGGGGGACTCCAGCAGGTCAATTTGCATGCTAAGGCCATCTAGCCAGGTTGTCCCTACAGCATGAGAAACATCAAGCCTGTCTTTTCTGACTGTGAGCAGAGGGAAAGCCTATCTGGAGTCTTTTCCACCTCAGGGCACTTCTTTGCCTCGGGTCCATCATGGCTTCAATCTTCCAACCCAGACAAGCCCTGGCCATTGCTAAGCCCTCTTCTTTAGAGTTGAACTTATTTTCTAGGTTGGTCCTCTGCTCCTTTCTCTTCCTGAATCTCAGCTGCCATAAGGAAAGTTATTTTAGGGCCAGAAATGGTAGCTCAGAGCTATAATCCTAGTGACTCAAGGATCACAGCCTTGGCAGTTTAGTGAGACCTTCAGCAACTCAGCGTGACTCTGTCTCAAAAGGAAATAAAAAGGAATGAAGATGTAGCTCARTGGTAAAGCACCCCTGTTTTCAATCTCCAGTACCAGAAAAACAAAGAAAGAAAGAAAAAGAGAAGAAGTGAGGGTGCAGGGAGAAAAGGAAAAAAGAAAAAGGAAGGTTATGTTCTCAGGTGACAAAAATTCACCCAGCATTCAGGAGAATTCAGGAAAGGAGCATTCAAGAGACCTAAGAATTGCTTGCAACATCTGGCTGTGTGTGAGCAGCTCTTGGGCTCAAGAGTTCAGCCCACCTCTTAGGATGGAGGACCAAGATATTTTGAGCCATGTCATGGACTCTTAGACCCCAGTTTTGGAGAATGGTTATCTCTTGGGGAGAGAGGGGAGGAATAGGATAAGGAAGGCTTAGGGCAGTTAGCTGTATAATTTAGCTTTTAAAGAAAAAAACAAACATGTTAAATATGGTAGTGGTTGGTATGAAGTATATATCATATTTTTTTTATATTTCTGCATATTTAAAATTTTTCACAGAATAGAATTTTTAAAAATTAAAGTGTAAGTAAACCTGCTCACTTTAAAAAGTGTACAGCTGGGAGTGTAGCTCAGTGTTACAGTAGGTGCTTAGCATGCAAGAGGCCCTGGGTTCAATTCAATCCCCAGCACACACACACACACACACACACACACACACACACAAAGTATAGAAATACTTGTAAACAATTCTTAATTTGGAAATTGTGAATCCCAATCATGTCATAAAAGACTTTGTGGAGGGAAGAAAATATTATGAAGAAGTATTGCACAGTCATATGTTCAGAAGTACTCAGAGGACTAGGGAGGTAGCTCAATGGTAGAGCACATCCTAGCATGTGCAAGGCCCTGGGTTTAATCCCCAGCACAGCAAAAATAAAACAAAAGATTTAGAAAAAGAAGTACCCAGAATTGGCAAGGAAGAAGTAGAGAGAGAACAAGAGGATTTATTAACTTCTCTAAGTACAAATCCTCATGGCTTTTATAATCCAGTAGGGGAAGTCCATACATGCATGAGATCAAGCTCACTCACTAAACAAGCACCTGGTAAAAAATAATACAAATCAACTTTAATATCTACTTGATGAATTGAGGTTAAAAAGATGTTTACAGTGGGTAGGGAGAGCCAAGCATCAGAGAGATTGAGGGCAAAGAAAAAGTGAACACAGCAAACATTTTTTTAAAAGGGGCTGGAGAAATTTAGAAGAATGTGCTCTTAGGATCCTGGGGCATACTCTCTATATCCATGGTTCTCAATCTTTCTTTCTATATTGTCTTCTCGAAAGAAACCTTCAACGCATGCAATTCCTTTTTAAAAAATGTATGTGTCTCTCCTTTCCTCACTCCCTCCCCAATACACACAAATACATTGCACATACTCCCAGGCACCCCCACACAGAGGCACTGTTGGCCTATGATGCATCCAGCCTCCACTGCTGCTGAAAAGTTTCTTGTAGGAACATCTTAAGCAGCGGGGCGTTATGCCCACTCACACTTTGCACGCCCTCTCTGCCCTCATTGCTCTCTCTCCCTCTGTTCATCTCTCTCCTTCTGCTGTTTCTCTTACTGCAGGCTAAAAGAGCACACAGGTGTCTAAACAGAGCCAAGATGATCATGTTACTCCCAGAGTCTCATGGTCTGCTTAGGCACATATCCCCAGAGGAACATCAGAAAGAAAGGACGCTCATTAAAATAGCTTGTTAGACTCCAGCTGACTTTCCATTAAGTTTGACACATATGAGCCTGAAATTTTTAATAATGCCTTGCCCTTTCCAAACTTTCATTGAAGATGAAAATTGTTTGATGCAATTTTGGCAGGGAAATTTTTGCTAAACAATTTCCAATATAATCTAGAAATATCAATCATTCAAAAAGAAGGAGGGGCTGGGGTTGTGGCTCACTGGTAGAGCACTTGCCTAGCACATGTGAGGCCCTGGGTTCAATTCTCAGCACTGCATATAAATAAATAAAATAAAGGTGTATTGACAACTAAAATAAATATTAAAAAGGGGAAAAAATTTAAAAAAAGGAGAAGGAGAAGGGGGAAGAAGGGATGAAGAGAGGGAGGGAGAACCTCTCAAGAAAGAGATGAAACCAGCATAGTGGCACACACCTGTAATCCCAGTGGCTTGGGAGGCTGAGGTAGGAGGATTGCTAGTTCAAAACCAGCCTCAGCAACAACGAGGTGCTAAGCAACTCAGTGAGACCCTGTCTCTAAATAAAATACAAAATAGGGCTGGGGATGTGGCTCAGTGGTTGAATGCCCCTGAGTTCAATCCCTGGGAAAGGAAGGAAGGAAGGGGGAAAGGAAGGAAGAAAGAAAAAGTGGGCCATGAGATCTATCTATACCATACATGGTGATCTTAGGGAAGAAAGCATTCCAGGGTCATTTTAGAAATGACCATTCATTACTTCTCT